GCAGGAAGGGGTGGTTGGGATCCCTGGGAAGGAAGGGGTGGTTGGGATCTCTGAGCAGGAACCTCTTTGTTTCAGTGCTGTGTGTGGCTCTGAGGTTTGAAATGAGCTCCTGCTGATCCTGTGTTCCAGTGTGGAACTGTGGTCAAGCCTCCCAGTGTGTTCCCTGTGCCAGAGACTGTTCCTGATGGTGTTTTGTTGCACTTTTAGAGGCTGCCCCTGGCTGTGCTCATCACCTGGTTAATCCTTCCTCTGACACAGCCAGATATGGAACCTTTAAATGCTGTGAGAATGAAAGGTCCAATGAAAATATCTAATGAAAATATATATATATACATATATATATATATATATCCAATGAGGATATTTTGAGGTCCTGAATCATAGTTCTCAACTAAAATGCTCCCAGATTTGGGGTATTTTTCGATGTGGATCATCTTTGCATAGCTGACAAGTCTCTTGTTTCATTGCCAAGGCTCTTTGTAGCGTCCTGCCCTTGAATCCTGCCTTCTGTGTGCTTTCAGGTGAAGGTGAGTTGGCAGATGTGCATGGCCAGGTGAAGAACTTGCTGCAGAACCAAGATGGAAAGATGATAAAGAGGGTTTGTGCTCTGGAGTCCCAATTTTAGCCTCTGAACATCCTTAGCTCCACTCAGAGGCAATGATGTTGAACATTTACTGAAGGCAGAGCTAAACACCAGAAACTGGACTCTGAAATTAAGGCTGGTTTTGAAAATGCTTCAGTGGAAGTCAAGATTGCCTTTATGTAGTACAGAGATTTCCCAGTTCCATCTCCAGGAAATATTCTTTTGAAAGTTTCTGGCTTTAATACCGTGGTTTTATCTTGTACAGGACATGAAGGTTCCCAAGAAGCTGTTTTCACACTGCTGCTGAAAGACTACAGCATTGTCACTCCAAAATTTCCTGGCTATGAGCCTGAATTAGATGTTTCTGTAGCCTTGTTCTCAAACATGAGAGGAGAGAATAACCTATTACTTGTGCTCCTATGGGAGGAATAAAAGCCCGAAGTAAAGAGGTTTTTTAATTTATAGTCAAAATGGGAAATCTTTTTTTTTTATTTCCAGAACTAAAAACTATAAATGAAGGAGAAAATGCTTCTTAATCTCTTTGCATTGTGTGTGAAGTCCTGGAGTTGTGGATGATGTGGTGTGTACATGGAAGTTCAAGGATTATGTTGGATCTTATCAGCTGATTTTTCTCTCTTCTCTCCGCAGCTCAACTGAAGAACTGCAAAGATTCCAAAGTTTCACCTAGAAAATCTGGCAAAAAAAGCCAAGTTGCTTTTGGAAGTTCCATCCCCAGGTGAGCCCTGAGCTGAGTGAAAGCAGTGCTGACCCTTTCCTTAGTGCCCCAGCACTGCTCAGGAGTGGGTTGTGTCTCTACCACAGGTAAAAGGAGTCGTTCCCCAAAGGGCAACAGGAATGAAACTGGGGCTTCCACTTCCAGAGGAACTGGGAGACACCAGGAGTGGCAGATGGAAGGAGTTCTTTGGTGCTGAGCTCTTTATCCTTGATGACACACTGAATTTATGGGGTGGTTGTCACAAGCCTGAAATAGCAAATGCTTCATTTCTGAGCAAACAATCCACTGACACAGAACAGCAGGGAATCACTTTGGAGCCAGGGAAATGCCCAAAGACCTTGGTCCTCACAGACACTGGGTGAATCACAGACAGTGGCAGGAGGACAAGCTGCAGCCCCAAGTTGGTTTATCTTTAACATAGTAGTTTTGTTTATGGAAACGTTGAAGTGTTCAATTAACAAGTTCTTCTAATTTTATCTTTTACCTCACAGCTTCCATAAATAACTTTACAGCTCCTGAGATAGCTCCTATCTCCTGAGATAGCTCCTATCTTCATGGGATGGACCCTGTCCCATCTTACACAGACCTGGTGATTCATCAGTCCTGCTGATTTGCTGTGCTGAGCACTTGTATATGAACCACGATGGGAAACATATTAAAACTGTGTGTAAAAATGCAGATCATCTTGCAAAACCTATAGGTGGACTCTTCTTCCTCAAGGTTCCTGTTAAAAAATAGAACAGGTTGTAAAACCTAATCACCAAGAGCAGGACTTTTCTCTCTACAACACCCAGTGGTACATTGATCTCAGTTAAATTCACAAGCAGTTTTAAACTCGCAGCGCTTGGTTTTATGCAACTCTTTCATTGCTGAAAATATTTTGAATTAAACAGAAACATCTCCAAAATGTATTTCTTTAACTGTGATCCCCAAATAAGCAGAGGGCTGTTGGGAGTCCCCAGTGAGGTTCACATGCAGTGAGAATCACCTATGTCTGTTTTTGTGAGAACCACATGGCAATCTTGGAAGAATTTAGTGTTTCATGGGAAAGTGGTGTCATATTTTCAGCAGGGAACTGATGCCCAAGGGAAGAAATTAAGCAGGATGAAATCTTCTCTTTGAGTAAGTTGGGTGTCCAGTCATTAGAAGAACTGGAAGAAACCTGAAGTGAGGAAGAAGAATCTTGAAGTGAGGAAGAAGAAACCTTTGAAGTGAGGAAGAAGAAACTTTTGAAGTGAGGAAGAAGAAACTTGAAGGGAGGAAGAAGAAACCTGAAGGGAGGAAGAAGAAACCTGAAG